ACATTTCTCAGAGAGATTAAGAGTCGTTTATATATGATGGTTTTCTACTAGAAAATACGAAATATTCTACTAGTTTCTAGTAAAAAAAAAACATTATGTAAACGACCTTTTACTACAAGTAGCTTCAACAACTCTGATTATTAGTGATACAATTTGAGTTAAATTTCGTCATTTTGTTGAGAGGGTGTTTTTATAACTACTCCTACAGACACTCCAAATGGTACCAATAGGTGCAATTTTGTACATGCATGGCTGTATAGTATCAAGTATGTACCTTTTGAGAGTTTAAACTTTTAACCACCCTCTAGTATTATAATTTTAAAATTTCAACTTTTTTTTTCCGAAATATTAGAATATAATACATGCAGTGAGTATATTATTATAGTATTCGGTTATTTATATTGTTTTACGAGAAACATTTCTATAATAGAAAACGGGCGGCGGAAAATTATAATAGTCTAGTGACGGAGCTCAGCTGTTCACGGGTAGTTTTTTTTTTTATATCATTACTGTCCTGTCATATTATTAGACATTAAATAGTTGATTTTTCGTTTGTAATTATAAAAGAATATAATATACGAACGTAGATTATAATGTATACAAATTGAATAGTTTATTCATGATATATCAGCTTATTTAGAATGCGGTAAATTATGTGAGAAAGTGGTATTTTCAGTTATATTATTACAAAAAAAAAAAAAAAAAAAAAAAAAAAAAACACGTACAAATTCATCACAATTGCAATAATATGTATAACTGTACGTTGCAGTGTACGACTAAATCAATGATAGTATATAGGGCATCTGGAAATGTCATTCAAACAACGGACATTGAAACGCTCACATTAGTTAAATAATAAAAACACAATACATTTACAGTGCACAGTATAACAAAATAATATTATATCTGTCTTCTTGGTTTTTTTTTTGTACAGTATTATTATTAAAAATGTACGGTCATTCGAACAAGTATAACAAATTAAATTAGGTAACTAAACTGCAACTGCAGTACAATAATATAGTATACGGAGTGTAGAATTTTACGTTATAGCAATTTTCTCATATACATAATATACAAAATAAAGGACAATGTATAAATTAAACATTTTTATTAAATAGTGTAATATAAAATAATATGTGGGTTTGAAAATTTTAGACACTTTTTTTTTTGACGGGGAGGGAGAGTTGGGGGTCGACTCCTGAAATTTCAATGGCAACCTATATTCATAATTCCATAGATAAACGGAATATTTGTTCAAATAAATGTTGATGTTGACGTTTTTGATTTCCGTCTACTATTTTTTATAAAAAAAAATGGTATTTTTATTTCTAAATAATCAGAAACATTAGAGATTTCAAAATAATCCAAAAATATCGTAATTTTGTTCAGATTCTGATAGAGCGAGGAAATTTTCAGTTTTACTATTTTGTGCGATTTTTTTAAAATATTTTTGTACCAGAAATCTTGCTCTAATTGAAAAACAAAAAAATTTTTGTTAGAATTTGGGATATGGTTGATGCATTGAGATCAAAGCCATTTTGCAATGTTCTAAGCCGTTTTAATAATGATTGAGAAAATGTGAAAAAACGGATAAATTTACGACGGTAAAATTTATATTATTATCAATTTTTTTTTTCAAATTTATCTTCCTACCAGAAATCTAGCTCCGAACTTAAAAAGTAATATTTTTCCTAAAAGAAAATTTTGTATTGTTGGTGTGTAAGGTTCAATCATTTACTTGATTGTCGATTCAAACATTATATAACACTCATGCGCTACAAGTTTTAAACAACGGAAAATTCCCTAAAATCGTTCAAAATGTTGATTCTTTTACTTTTATTTTGGTAGCATAAAATATTATTTCAAAAATAAAATGTACAATATACGGTTTATAAAAATAGAAAATTGTTCCGATCTATTATACCAGTGAGCTGACTTGTTCTTATCTATAATTTATTATTGTACACGAGTACATTTTTTCCAAAACAATTATGTTTACGGTGTGTATTTTGAGAGAAACCCCAGATAACCGATTTTATGTACGAATGGTTAGGGAACGAGTAAAAAAAAAAAATTAATTTAAAGCTCAAATGTAATTGCTTGTAATCAGAATGCACGTATCTCCGAATAGTCGACATATTTCAACGAATGTACAATACGCAATTTCACTTTTGAAAGCCTTACGGCCGACATATAAACCAAACAGTATCGTTTAAAACGGACAATGATAGGGCAACGGATCCGAATTGGCCGATACGCTATCTGCAATGGCGTTTCAAGAATTTTCGTAAGTAGGGGGGAGGCGGAAAATAGAATAAAATTGAAAATGCAATCGGGGAACGGAGGGCATGGTTTTTCTGTGCCGCCCTCGGACAGGTTCATTCGCACGTCACCGACTCCCGTTTTGCCCGTGACGTACGTTGCTCCAAGCACGCCCACTCAGGAATCCATCCGCCGCTATACCCCGTGTTAAAAACAACTCGTTTTCGTCGTCGGTTTCACTGGGATCGCACTAGTTCTATTCAACTGCCGCCGTAACTAAACTGAAATTATGAAAATTATGAGAAAAATCCGTTCGACCGTCTATCCACCGATCGTTGATCACCTGTCGTTGTTTATTGTTGAACAGTTTTTTATATTTTCGATAATTCTGAATGCGCGCGTTTACCTTGATTGCTCACGCCGCTGGAGTTTCATCGGCAACGATGCGTCCACCGCAACAATAATATTTCAATTTGAAACGATAACACGAATAGCCCGATTCGCGCGACGGCGAAATGGGAAGACATACGGGAACGCCCCACGGGACCGGTAAAACGGGCGGTCGGCGACACGGGAGTCGGCGACACGGGAAGGCACGGGACACGCGACATCATTACCACGGCGGCGCCGGTTCGGTATGCGCTCAACAGATTTTGCCGTACCTACTCGCTCGGCCTACGCCCGGAACGGGAATGCCGGACGACGACTGTACGCGCGTAATCCGCCTCGTTCCCATGTGACATGATACGCCGGGTATTTCTTTCGGCTCTTACTGTCTCTGTTTGTGAATTCCGTTACTGTGGGTTTTATGACAGTCGTCCTTTCGGTTTTCAGTCGCGTAGTGCCCGCCGAGGTTGTTCGTTACGAGTACACCACTAGCTGCGATTGTTTGTAATGATTAGCGCCGAACGAGATCGCGTGTCATCGGTTTTTCAAGCAGAAAAAATATTATCAAAAAGCGCCGAAGACAGCGCCGCTTGTCACGAATGCGGCACAGAAACGCGGGCAAAACGATCAGTGCTTATAATTATAAATCTGTAACGGTGTAATAATTAAAATGAAAAAGTCAAAAATGTATCTTTATACTCGGGCCCTTTGAAAACAATTCCCATTCTGTATACGCGAAAAAAAAAAAAATACCTTGACAATATAATACAATAGCTACACGGAAAAAAAAAATACGTAAATATAAATCTGTAATACAGTGTTTACGTGCAACAACGGACGCCGGATAATCTCTATTTTCGGAGGGGTCTCCTAAAAACGTTCATTCGGTTAGGAAAAAAAATTATACAAAACAGATAATAACCATAGTTAAATGTAATTTTAACGGACTTTAGAGACCACATAGTCCTCATCCCCATGGGTTGTTTGGTGATAGAGTTGTACGGTGTTGTGGTTTTGTACAGGATAAGACCTTCGTTTTTTCAGTGATCTTAGCTACACGAACTAACGGATGAGTTTGAGATTAAAATATTGAAAATGGAATTCGATGCTGGCCGTAGGGAAATCGTCCTCATTCCGACAAAACTTTTTTAAAACCCTTATAAAAACTACTACATTACGCTCAATTTTTTTTTTTTTTTTTTTTTACTATTAAATTAAACATATAGTGAATATCATGTTAAATTGTCAAGTATTTCTGTTAGGCCGAACAATTTAATCCACATAAAACTAAATAAAAACTAAACAAATCGATCATAATAAAACTAATACATTCCCTTGCTCCGTTCAGAATCGGAAATAAAACACAAATACAAATAACAATATAATTCGGTCGCCAAACAATGAATACATTTATTGTATTATGTATTTTTAATGTAATAGCCCATCACACGAGGTCCGATTGTGATTTGCGATAAAAACCGGTTAACCCGCACCGCACTTGACCGTCAACAAAAACGACATTTACTGTGGTCGAGCTAGAAGATTAATTCACATTTGGGTGTCTTATCGCCATCTATCGGATGTTTTATACAATCATTTTTCGTATTAAAGTTATTTTTCAACTAGGGTGATACTTATACACGATACGTTAGGTTTATATTTTTTTTTTTTTTTTATTCCGACGCCCGAAAAATGTTCAATACATCAAAAAAACAATATGTTTAACAATTTAGAAATATATTTTCACTAGAACCCGTGCCTCAAAAGAATTGAAATTTGAAAAAGTGATTTTTATGGTTTTCGTATCAATCAATGTTACACATTTATGATAAAATGTATACATTAAAAAAAAAAAAAAAAAACCTAAGACCACAAATATAGACAATTACATTCTCTAGAAAAAGTATGTCCGGTCAAATTTGGTTTTACTAAATATTTCGTACATAAATTATAAAAAAAAAAAAAAACTCCGAATTTCTATACAGTTCAAACAGTTCTTACAAATAATAATAGTTTCAATATATTATTGTATTTCACTGCCATTGACCAATATTATTACAAATAGATTTTGAATGTATATAATATAATGTTAATTGATAATGCGAAATAATCTTGAATTATTAAAAAAATCGTAGTGCGCCTGTTTAACGATATTGTTTTTATGTGCGGTTCATTGCGCGTCGTGCGTTTTTCGATTTATCAAGTTTGCCTAATCGACGAAAAGTAAAATTGTACAGACGCAACCGTCGTTGTATAATTGTTTACAATTGGATTCTTTAGTACCGCCGCAGTGTCCCCGCGAACAGCATACGTTGACCGTTCGAAAATTCGAATAATTGAATATTGCCAATTAAAAACTGTAATTCGCGAATGTCACAACGAATACAAGAAATAATAACAGCAAAATATATTAAAACAGTCACGGTGGAACTAACCGGGATTCCGGGCGCTAATCGGCCAATTAATTTTGGTCACTATCAAAATATTCAAGTTCTTAATGCGTAGTTTTTGCAACGTAAGATGAACAGATTTAAATTTGCGTTCCAGTTGTAATTCAGTTGAAATGGGTCGAGATAAATTGAGAAAAGCGCGAAATGCCGACGAGCAAACTCCAAAGGAGCGTGGAAAAATGAAAAGCTTTAAATACGGAACAGCGAGATTCTTAAAACGGAAACGCGACAACAAGAACGGCGACGAAATGAGATTTATTTTACGAACAAATTAAACGGTACGTTTGGTATACCGCCCGATACTACACATATCACGGTTATTTTCCCGGTAAAACTGTGTCACGCGGCACGCGTCGTGTCGTTTACAATAATATCACAAAAACATTATCGACCAATATTGATTTTACAGTCGTCTACTCGCAGACAGACCATTACCCGTGGCTGCCACGATCGGTTAACGTGAAAATGTCCGGGGATTTTAAAATATACACGGTAAGCCATCGGGGATTTTTTACTGAAATTCGATAATAATACCATACAATATTTCGACTGAAAACTGAGTTTCGAGAAAGAGAAAACACCCGTGAACAGCAGAAATCAGCCGCAGAAAAAAAAAAAACGAATTTTCCCCCAAACCGTGTCATCGTTACAGTATATCGTCATTTATTAGATTTCAGTCTGTATATTTTATGGGCATAAAACCTGAAAAATGTCTGCGAAAACGTAAAACTCAAGTGTAGGAACGGTCGGTGAGGTGGTTATAAGTTGAAACCCTCAAAAATCATAGCCTTAATAATTTTACTATGCAAATACAACATTTCACCTCCGACTTCATTTGGGTTGGGGAGAACTAAAAGACACCCTCTATCCGCAAAGACTCGATGAAATTCATATTGAAATTAAACCAAAATTTAAAATATTTATGTTATTATAAGCTAAACTACATAGCTGACCCGGAAATGCTTTGTTATTAATAGGTAATAGTGTAAATAATGATAACGATAATAGTTTTCTTGTCCGTGACAACCGAATTGTCATCCATGTCACCAAGGTAACCCGTGAATAAACATAAACAATTAGATATTCGTACCAAACATACCTAAAAACCCCTATTTTACCGCCTTAGGGGTTGCGTTTTCGAAAATCCTTTCTTAGCGGACGCCTACGTCATAATAGCTGTCTCTGCGTGCCAAATTTCAGCCCGATCCGTCCGGTGGTTTGGGGCTAGGCGATGATGCCGATGACGATCAGCCAATCGGTCAGCCAGCACATGTGGTATTTTAAACGTACATACATAGATATAGACAGGCGCAATACTGTGTAACAGTCTATTTTCGATGGGAATTCAACAAAAATGTTTGTGTGCGATAAAAATTGCATTGAGTTTGTTCAATGTTACTTAATTTTTAACACCTCGTTGTTTCGAAATTTGTTCGTCTATTTTTTTTTTAAAAATTGTCTGGAATACACGGAAAACTGAAGGCATTTGAAAAAAAAAAAACAAATTTCTGGCAACCTCGATTACGTAACCCGACCCTAACCTACCTGTGTATACACTGCGTTTAACGTTTTGCCTATTACGTTTTACGGTGGATTAATAAATAAACAACGCAAAATCGAATCGCGAACAGTTTTTATTTCGTGAGACCCGTTGAAAAATCGGTCACAAGGTCGACACTGCCGGTTCCATCTTGTTCAGCAGTTTTATATGGATACGTAAACGATACACATCAACGCGATTGATAATTAGTTGTTTCTTTCGACGCGGTGTTTAGGTCTCTAAACGCAGTTTTAGAACAACTTGTATCCAACGGGAATACCTACCTGTACATGCACAGTCGGTGCACGCGGTCGTTGATTTGGCTGCCAAATAATTATACTTTATTATTCGTAACACTATTGCCATTATTCATTTAAATATGACGGATTCAATATAATACATGAAAAATGTGATTTACGATTTTGTGCGAGTTACTGATAAGAAAAAAAAAAAAAAACAAAAACAAAATAGGTTATGCCGGATGGGGTTGGGTACTATCAATTAGTTGAAAAAATCACGGTGCCTGTTCAATTCAAACAAGTTTCACAAACGCAAAACATTCTAATGGGTTACCGAGTTCTTTTAAAATGGTACCAGCGTATCGAATTGTATAAGTTTTAAAACGCGTTTAGAAGCCGGGAACTTTGCACGCTCGCGTAATACGGACTGTCGGACTGTCTTGACTTGCTTTTTTTTTTCTCTAAAATTCAAACAAATCTTATTCGTAAAATAAAATATAAAATATTAAACTGTTAAACACGGAGATCAGTATTAATATACAGTATTCGTTTTACCCACCCAAAATATATGTATTTTTTTTTTCCAACGAAACTCATAGCCTATTATTAAAAAACAGAACTGTATTATAATTACATAATTACACGTATCACTTTTAACCGCCCCGAGCTACGGCGAAATTACATTGTTTTTCGCCGACTTATTGAACTTTACCTGCGGATAATCGATAGGTTTACGCCTGTATTTTATAAAGTCATACGGAACGTATGCATACGGGTTGGCGGTACCTGCGTTTTCGGGTGGGCATAATCATTTAGGCGCGTATGTTTCGATTTTTTTTACGTACATTAAGTCGATTGAAAATTGTCTCTGTGCAAAAGAAAACATAACTCGCTAGATAAACGTACATTGTTTAGAATGGAAAAAGCCTCGCGGCATCGTGCAATAATGTTTTAAACGCGTCACGGTACAAAATAAAACCATGCAGGTACGACGGGGTTAGGTGCGATAGGTTCAAGATGTATTACGGAGTCGTAAAAAAAAAAAAAAATCGTGAAATTGACAACGGGCATGCATCATTATAATAATGTAGGAAGTGATGTATTATTTATTACATTTTCTAATGAATAATAGTTTTTTTCAAACTTCAGTGTCGGTACAACTACCTACCTACCTACCTGATTATAAATCGTCAAAAAATAAAAAATTCACAATTCATTTTTTAGAATCGGAACACAATATGTCACTGTTACAATATTATAATTCCAGACTGTAATTCCTGAGTGGTGACTTAAACGTTATTTTGCTATTTTTTTTTTTTTTTTTTTCATAAAGTTTTAACAGAACTACGTATCTGCATATGGACATATCGACCGAATAGTTACGTACTGATCGAATGGGTGCGTTTTCTTAATTAACATAATTTTAGACGAAAAAACGTAAAAAAAAGATACAGTAAAAATTACTGTATTCGAATTGCATGCCGGCTGACGATAAAATTACAATTAATTATTGGGTTTTTCACAGTTATAGCAATGAGTTAAATGATTAAATTTAATGGATCTGATTAAATCGTACAACTCGGTATCCGATGGTATGACGGTATCCGAATACCATCATAGAAATTATTTAGCGCGAGATGCATATTTCGCCAAGGTACACAGTTTGATTTATGACTAGAGAGCGGATTTTAAGGTTCTTAAAATTTTAAAATATGATGCTAATTATAGAATTGTACACAAGTCACATTAAGAAATATGTATTGTATATTTTTGTACAAATGCGTACATTTAACATTTTACGGTATTTACATTTAACATTAATATTGCACCTCATGTTAAAATATTATAGGCACTCAAACTTGATAATCAACCTCAAAACATACATTTACTTGTATCATTTTTTTTGATAAATTATTTAAACTCGGCTATATTTAAAAGACAACATTATTGTAATGTTTCGGAATTTTAAAAAATAAAATTGAATACAACAAAATTAAAATTGAAACTAAACAACGTTAATGGTTAATTCAAATCGTTTTTAAAATTTTAAAACATTTGGTAACGTATAATAATGATTCATAGATAACTAAAAATTATCACTTGCCAAAATCTCTTTTTGTCCACGATCCAAGAGAAATATTGTGGCTAACGTTATCAATTTGACTACAAACCAGAAACTGAATAATTTTTTATCATTCTTCAATTAAATTAATAATAATCATTTTTTCCTACAATGAAAATATAACAACTCAAGAAAAGAGCTAAATAAATTTATGATTTTTCTTATGAACAATAATACAATATATCATAAAATATGAAAAATAGGCTGAATATTCTCCAATCTCCAAAATATACTTAAATATTAGGCAAAATAAATTTTTTTCCAAAAACTCATTAATGGATAAATCGTTCACATTTTTCATTCTCGTTGCGCTGCATAGAGCCAACAAATACATGTAAAAACCTAAAAATCTGCTCTCTATTTATGACTAAATGATACAGATCTAAGCAGTTTTAGGTCCCGGAATCAATAGAAAATGATTTTAACTGAAAATTGTAGAAAAGAATAGGACTGTCAGTCCTAAGTCTGTGTAAGTGAGAGGGAAAATGTGACACGGTCAAGTTTTATTAAAATGGTATGCAATTTAATCAATTTCTTTTTGGAATGCAATATTTTACATTTGTTGCACTATACAATATATTTTATTTGAATAGGTATTCAAGGAAGGACTAATATTTTACTAAAACATAGAAATTGAATTTCTAGTATAAAAGATAAATGCAAGGAAAATAAAATTAAAATAATTATAAAGTTAGCGACACACTATACGTGTATTTGCTGTTTGTAATTAACTATTCATTGAAATATTTAAATAGTGTGTAGAGGGCAGTATTTGTGATTTATGGCCAGAATCGGAAAATCGATCCAGGAAAAATTCATAAATGATTTACAGCCGATTACTCAAAAGGGTGATGAAAATAAAATATTAAAGAGATCAATAAATCATAAATCACGAGCTCACACAAATAGTGTTGTTTGTAAATATCAAAAAAAACAAAATATTTTTATGAATCGAAAACATTGAACAACAAACAATGAATATGCACATAGTGTATAGCCACATTATTATGTATTATTATTATTATTGATAACCTAATTGATAACCTAACCTTGATATACTAATATTATGGTCTACACATAACCATATTAAATATACAACAATATATGTCTTTTTAAATTTAATTGTAGTGTATGAAACTATTTATTTTTTTTAGTATGGTTTTATCACTGAACTAAATATTAAATTCAATAGGTTTTACCAATATAAAGTCTAAACAGTTTTAAATAATTAACTGGGTAATTAAATAATAATGATTTGCATAGGTACATACGCAAACAATTTATTATATAAAATGTCAGCTAAATAATATAACTAAAACAATGAAAATATAATATAAATACAATTTTAATTGTTGGATACATATTCTAATATCAGTTTGAAAATAAAAACAAATGATTAAACATACATGATTAAAACAAATAACAAGTAACTATCTTAGAAAAATTATAGTCTCGATTAATTTAAATATAAAACTTAAGACAAGTCTTACATTATGTTATTTTAATACAGAATAAAAATGAATAAAAAGTGGATAAATGATAACATTTTGTGGTTAAATAATTTTATTATAATTTAAGCTTAAGTAGCTAATACATTGTTTGAATCCAAAAACAGTTAAGAGAAATATGAAGTATGACTTGCTATCTATAATGTGGGTTTGTACTTTTTTTCAAATGAATTGATGTCACTGATTTTTATTTCAAAATGTATGTAATATGAGTTTTGCTATCAAATTGAGATGAAAATGTTTTCATATTTATTTATTTTAGTTACAATTTTCCATATGAAAAACAGTCTTATGATATTGTCAATTTAGGTAACACAATCTTAAATAACGTTCTAAGTATAATTATTGTATTTTTACTTTCTTTAGTTTATGATTACAAAATATCCACACAATATGCAACAAATTAATTTGTAAGTAATATGATATGTAATATAATCTGAGATCTTAATAAACAATACAGTGGAAACCATTAAAGAACCCACCATATATTGTAATTAAAAAGACGTGGTTTTGCTAGACAAACTGTGACTATGTTATTGACATTTATTTATGATACATTTAATTGATTCTAAGGTAATTACATTAAGAGGTTGTCACAGATATTTTTTATTTCTTGTTTTTCTAACGGGTAATATAGCAAACATGTTTTCGCATAAAACAAAACAATGTTTTAAATCAGATTTAGAGATAAAACATGTACTATATTTGTAGACAATATTTTTTTTAAAAAAAACACCATCAGCATTTTATAATTATCTAAATATTCAACTCATTATCTAAAGTTCACAAATCATAATTCAAATTTTTCTTCAAATACTGTAAATGTGTAAATAATTTATTTTTCAAAAAACGCTGATCAGATTATCTTTATGTATAATAAGAATTATATTATTATATTAGAGGTTTTATTTCTAAAATTGATTTTGAAAGTGTTTTAATTTGTTTTATGCCAACACATTTTTACTATATTTTTAGTAAGAAAAACATAAGTGCGTTTTAAGAGAATATAATACTTACGTTAACTGTCTAAATTTAACTAGAAGGCAATAGCAATAGCAAAATTAAAATTATAGTTAGAAATTAGAGTATAAGCACAGATAGCAAAATTGAAAGAAAATAATACTTAAAAAATGACCAGGTTCCTTTTTTTCTAACATTATATTTCCCAAAAAAAGAGTTACAGGTGTTACAGCCATATTAGTTTTGCTACTTTAGAATATATGTAGCTTTTTTTTTTTGTTTTGCAATAATTTCGAAAAATAGGAAATGGTGCCCTCAATTCTATTCTAATATTAAAATTTTGTTATCTGCGTTAAAACTTTATGTTCAACCTAAACGTCACAATTAATTCCAAGTTATGTAATATTATTATATTACTCAAGAGTTGAATTAAGACAGTAAATATAGGTATCACATCCTTTTAAGCGACATTCTGAGAGACATGCTTCAGTGTTGATACTAAATATTTGAAAACTTGTAAATTGTTGTACAAATCAATAGTTGGTATATTGTTGAATTCCACACTGATGATTGTATGTAAGTTTTGCTCATCATTCTGTAAATATAAGAAATATATATTTGTTATTAAAAGTAGATGTTATTAAAGTATTTAAATTATAAAATTAAATCAATATATACCGGGCACTAAAAGGAAGGAAAGATAAGTACAGATAAGTGTTTAAACCAAATTAAAGGGTATAAACTTTAATAGAGTATTAGTTAATGAAAAATGCTTTTGAATTGTAAATGTTATAAACCATGCATAGTGACCATTTTAATAATTAGGTAAAAATATTAAGCCATGCAAAAAATGAATTATCAATTGATTAACTATCAATTAATTACAGATAATTTAACATTGAATTATTGTATGAAATTGATTTTTAAGTTTTTATAATTTAAATTAATGAGTGTTATTATAAGTACGATTTATAATTAAAAAAAAAAAAAACACCACGGTATACAGTAATTATTTACATGCCGGCTTACCAATATTGCAATGTAGTGAACGCTGTCAATAATAAATCTGCTTTCACGGTTGCTACAGAATTGAATAAAACAATAATATGTACAATGCAAATTCAATCACAGAAACACTTTGTTTAAGTTAACAAGTCAAACTATAAAACATTAATACTACATTTCCAAAATGTTGTATGAATATCATTAGAAATAAAAATATATAACGAGATGTATTAATTCAAAAAATTATCTTAAACATAATAAATTGTCTATGTAAATGACTAGATACGGTTAAACAATAATTCATATTCATATCACGTAATCTGATCAATAGTGTTCCACAGTTCATCAAAGGGCACAGGACTTGTATTTTAACACATAACAATATTCTATAGTATTTCTATATAGTATTCTATATATTATAGGAGGTAAATACTACACGGAACAGGTCGTAAAAACATTTCAAAGAACTAGCATGTGCTGCTCCTTTAAAATAAAAAGGGTCGTTGAAAATACGATTGGTTGTGTTTACCTTAAATTTAGTTTTGATTTGTGTTACGATCTTGTCCATGTCTGCTGCAGTCATTGCAGTCGTCATAGGCAGTAGTTTGCTGATGAGGTCATCGGCTGGCCTACAACAATGGTTAGTATGACTCGTTAGAAGAATTATTTTCCAAAAAAATAATTATTGTTAAACATTATTATTATGTAATTATGTACTTACTGTGAAGGATCATATTTGTCGGCCGCAATCCCGTCACCGGGCGACCGGGTATCTGTTAAGGAAAATATTATTGCACCGACGTGTCAAATCAAGCCAAAAAAAACAAACACAGTAACTGTTGATGACTTCGACAGCGGATTCGGTACCGTCGGAGTGAGATAAACTCTCGAAAGAACGGGACGCACGTTAAATAAATGAAAATTTGGGATTAGTAGTTAAAATAGTAAAATTCAAAAAATGTGACAAAAAAAAAGAACAAAAACAAAAACAAACGCACATTATTATCATTTATCACAAGGCGACGATACGTGCCATAGATAATATTTAATTTATATTATCTACGGTTCGTGCGCGGTGAAATCGGCCAAAGAAACGTTGGAAATATTATACCACGCCACGGGTGCGCAGTGTGACCAAACAACCAAAGAGAATGTTATCGACCACGACGTCATTCGCAAACTCTTACATTCGTGAACCGTGGTCTCTGTAGAATTAATTTGAAAAAAACGTCCTAGGATAATCGAGACGGGTACAGCCACTGTGATAGATAATTTGATGTATACCTGTAAGCAACGATAAACCATTGATTACGAAAAAAAAGATTCTGAGCGGAGTTCGGTTGATAGTGATGCTTTCTCAACGATATATAAGTCGTTATGGTGTAATATGAATAAATTGGTTTTATATACTCTCTTTAATACAATTTATTTAATGTTGAGTTGAATATAGTGTAGAATGTGTGTTGCTCAAACCATAATGAGAAATCTTTCAGCTGGATGAACTTTAATTGAAATGAGTGTTTATTTATTTATTTTCCAGTGTGCGCTTACGTTTGATAAATACATACATTATCATAAATAGAATACACTATTTTCAACAACAGAGTCGGATATTTTTTCAAATGACTTTGAGAAATATCTAAAATATTTTGCTGATCTCTAAAGCTGTCTGAGATACAGCCATCAAAAAGGTAACACATATTTTTCAATTTTGAAAATTAAAATTAAAACGTACAGTTTCAAAGTGAAGACATTTTATTAATATTTTATGCGAGAANCACTATTTTCAAAAACAGAGTCGGATATTATTTCAAATGACTTTGAGAAATATCTAAAATATTTTGCTAATCTCCAAAGCTGTCTGAGATACAGCCATCAAAAAGGTAACACATATTTTTCAATTTTGAAAAATTAAATTAAAACGTACAGTTTCAAAGTGAAGACATTTTATTAATATTTTATGCGAGAACAATTACATGTAAATACAATCTTATCAAAACGCATATATAATAATGATATATACATTTACATATTTTAAAATAGAAAACATTACACTACTCTTATCCTCTTAAATAATATACTATTTTAAACCTAGGTGATTGAGAGCAGATTGGATATTATTATTTAATAAAACAGGTTNTTCAATTTTGAAAAATTAAATTAAAACGTACAGTTTCAAAGTGAAGACATTTTATTCATATTTTATGCGATAACGATTACATGTAAATTTAATCTTATCAAAACGCATATATAATAATGATATATACATTTACATATTTTAAAATAGCAAACATTACACTACTCTTATCCTCTTAAATAATATACTATTTTAAACCTAGGTGATTGAGAGAATATTGGATATTATTATTCAATAAAATAGGTAATTATTACATTAGGTAACCGTACGGAAAAAATTATGTAGAATATTATTCTAACGAGCCTCGTGCTAGTTATAGCCAACAAAACAAATAGTTTACTATAGAAACTTCAGGCCATTAAATAGCAATAGACTTTTTAAAACGTAAACCAATAAATGATAGATAATACAAAAAAGTATATAAATATAAAAATAAATAGACACTCTCTTAGTTATCATCACTATTGTAGACATTTATGCGGAAAAAACGAGAATTCGGCAGTAGACTATTTGATTTAGCAGCCCAGTTGTCTTCAAACTAATATATCATACTATGTACATTAAATTGAACTAATTATCTCAGAACTATTATACGGACTTTTGTGAATTTTTTAAATAAAAAAATTTCTTAGTTTTAGTATTGTTAATAACATGGCCACCAAGAATCTCATTTAGGGGAATACGTTAAATCATGACACGGTAATTCGTCAATGTTTGAATCATAATGTGAATTAGAAGGGTTTATTACTTTAATCGATTTACGTACGATATCAACAAATTTGCTTACAAAATCAATAGCTGTCAAACAATTTTCTTTCAAAGTGCGGTAAAAACTTTCAATCTTATCTGAAGAAAATACTTTACTTTTGATTGCATTAAATAGTTCTACGTATGCAGGACTTGGTATGTTGTTACGAATTTCTAAATAATCACTATTCTTTTTAAATTTATTAATAGCTGTTATTATTTTTAATACACTGTCCTTAGTTTCACATTTAAGAGTTAGACTTAAAAAGAATTTATATCGGCTTTTTTCATACCACCTAAGAGAGTTCCTCAAGCTTGATATTTTTATTTCGTTTTTCTTGTCATATACGCGATTCTCAAAGTAAACAATAATCGTTATTGCATGTCGGTAAACGTACATATTCATTATTTCATCCAGATAATTACATAAAATGATATTTTGTAAAAATAAAAATTTAGTGATATTTGCATTTAAAGGTAAAAAATANCCTCAAGCTTGATATTTTTATTTCGTTTTCCTTGTCATAGACTCGATTCTCAAAGTAAACAACAATCGATATTGCATGTCGGTAAACGTACATATTCATTATTTCGTCCAGATAATTACATAAAATGATATTTTGGAAAAAAAAAAATTTAGTGATACTTGCATTCACAGGTAAAAAATAATTGTAAATCTCCGAAAATGTAAATGGTACATTTTCTATGTCCATCTTATTGTATTTTATCCCGTTAATGTCGATATTATCTTTGTATACTTCGGTGAGTAAATATTTTAAACTTAACCAATCATACGTGGTCCATATTATGACTTCGTTTCCTTTTTTAGTGTAGAACTCAGTAATGGTTGTAGAAATATCCTTAATATATTGGTAATTTAAATCGGAACATTGAGTATTTATTTCTGAATTTGTCGTGAATTGATCTACTTCTAAAATTTTATCATTACGAACATAAAAATTCCACAGTNCGTTAATGTCGATATTATCTTCGTATACTTCGGTGAGTAAATATTTTAAACTTAACCAATCATACGTAGTCCATATTATGACTTCGTTTCCTTTTTTATTGTAGAAATCAGTAAGGGTTGTAGAAATATCCTTAATATATTTGTAATTTAAATCGGCACATTGAGTATTAATTTCTGAATTTGTCGTGAATTGATCTACCTCCAAAAGTTTATCATTACGAACATAAAAATTCCACAGTAATTTAACTCTTATCGCTTCCTTAATACATTTCTCTTGATATAATAAATTGCTATCAAATTCACCTCCGTATTTTGCAGGACATCGGAGATCGATAAAATCCATGTTATTTCCGCAAAGTGACAAAAATAAATTAAATAAAGTTAAGTCAATCGGGTCATTGGTTTGATGTTCATGTATATACAGAAGTATTTCCGGTATATCACCACATAATTTTTTAAATGGACTTAACACATTTTGATTGATTTGGTCCTCGTTTAATTGGTACATGGTATTATTGGAGCTTTGAAGTATAAATGTAAAATACTCTTCAAGCCTTTGGAGCGAATAGATTATTAAATTTTTTACCTCTTCAGATGTTGATCTAAACTTAGTTAACAACAGTGGTGCACATTTATTTGTTTCAATGTCTTTAGAATAATTTTTACAATAGTTTTTTAATTCTTTTTCTAAATTTATTGTACCGCATAGTTTTTGATAATTAAGTCGTACAACTTTCTGTGTTGGCGTTTGTTTAAAAATATCGTAGCTGGCATTTGCATGAATAAATGTATCCGTCCAATCAATACCACTCATGAGTTCGAATTCTAATTTTACAAATTTTATAGCATAACTCTGGTATGCCTTGTATCCTTGGTAATTAAGGGATTCTTCCTCAATAATTTTTTTTAAATATAAAATTTCTCTTAAGACAATATGTAAATTTTTGACATCGCAACTGATAGTTATTTCGTCATCGGTGACTTCCGATTCTTTACAATATTCTGTGAAAAATAGTTCTATTTTTCTACAAAGCAGGCTATGCGATTTGTACATATTGAACAGTTTTTTATTTCTGTATAATCGGCTAACGTACAAATAATCCATACATCGTACAATATGTAAACATATATTTACCACATAGTCATTTCGTATTCGTAAATCATATACATTGCTTGAATTGGTTTCTAATCCTTTACTTAAATCATTTACTTTTGTCTCAGTAGGAAATACCGATAAATAATATTTACTGAATTCGTGAAGTATAAGACCTATATTGTCTTCGAACCCTGTTATCGTAGTGTAGTCGCGAACTTCATAAGAATGTTCACTTTTGAAATTTATGTTGTAAAATTTTAGTACACATTTTTCGTGATCAATTTGTTTAGATATTTTTAATGCCATTTCTGGTTTTTCATTTAATACTAGAAGTATCTGTACTGATAATATAAGTGTACAAAATATCATGATAAATTTTTCAACAACCAAAAACAAAATTGAGACTAAATATTACACTGAGAAGAATTTGTGCACAATAGTTAAACACAATTATCGAGTGGGCGTTGCAATTAATTATCGGGGCTCACATATGGTAAGCTTGTTTAAATAATGTACAATTTATTTAAAAAAAATATCCTATGTAGTATAATCTGTGACCTATTTACATAATTTTTTAAAATTAATGTAATCAAAAATGTATCAGATCGATTTAAATTCCAAAATTTTAAAAAAACATATTATTCCGACTATTTTGGGTTTCGATTTTAGATTTATGGGGATATGATTTTTAAAACTTCAAAAAAATACTAAACAATTTTAAATGAAGGTTACGGGATATGGAAATATATTTCGAAGATGCCCAGGGAAATAATTTTAAACTAAAAGGTATTAAAAAAATGTTTTACTTAATTTTGCTCAGATTTCTCAGTTGAGGATTTCATAATTCATCGCTTTAATAATATCTTAGATAGGTATATATTTATAATCTTGGTATAGTATGATAACTTTATTTCCCATTAATAATAGAAAATGGGACAATTCTATAAGTATTACCAATCTTCATCTTCGTCATCGGTTTTTTTAAAGGCCAATGAATCCCATTACCGCAACACAAATTTGCTTTCATCTGTCTCTGTCCTGTGCTATTGTTTCTCCATCTCGTATTCCAATCTCTGTTAAATTCTTCTCCACCTCGTCAATCCACCATTGTTACGGCCTGCCAAGTGTTCTTGTCCCCCCTGGGGTTTCCATTTTAAAACCTCTTTCATTAGACCATTTGACCTCCATACATGACCGGCCCATGCCAGTCTCCTATATTTTAATACTGCTACTATTTGTGGCTCTTTATATAATTGTTGTATTTCTATATTATTTCTTTTCTCATATTGTCGTGTCGTGTTATTTATTTTTGGCTCAAATATTCTTCTTAATATTCTTCTTTCGAGCATTGCTAATTTGTCCTTGTCTCCTTTAGTCGTTGGCCATGTTTCACACGCATACAAAAGGACTGGTCCGATAATTACCTTGTATAATGTAATTTTTGATTTGAATGATACCTGTTTTGATTTAAGTATACTCGTTACTCCGTAATAGCATTTGTTTGCTGCAGTTAGTCTTATTTTAATTTCATCGTGATATTTATTTTTGCCATTTATTGTAACACCCATGTATTTAAAATTTTGCACTCTTTCAAATTTATAATGCTCAACTTCTAAATATTCCTCGTGATTTTCTTGCCTAGATATTACCATATATTTGGTATTTCTTTCGTTTATTTGTACTTCAATGTCATTGCCGAATATTATTAATTCTTTGGTTCCTGCCTTGACTTCTTGACTGTCTGATCCCAATATGATAATATCATCTGCGTACGCTAGTACTCCTCATTGTCTTCTGTTCTCTTCCAAGTTTATCCCACCATAATTTTTTTGAGTTTTTCTAACTGCCATTTCTAATGCTATATTTAAGAATATTATGGATAGGGCATCTCCCTGTCGAAGTCCAGTCTCAATTTCAAATTCATCTGATATATGTTGGTTGAATCTAACTTTAAGTC